ATCATAGAATACCAGATTAACTAAAATAGTAGGAAAAACATATATACTAAACCACACAGGAAGCAGTAGTATTACAATTCTAAAATGGACCGCCAACTACCTCAAATCGCATCTCACTTGTGCCCCCTGAAATACAAGTAGATTTTCTGCATAAACCAATAAAAGGACAAAGAAAGTCAGATGCAAAATAATGTGCGAGAACACTATAATTTTCATAAAAAATGCACAACAATTTATTTATGAATGTAGAAGGGTTTAGAACTTTGAAATCTTTTATCCAACCCCATTTGTATCCACTTAATTCCCAATCCTTTTCATGGACCAAGAAACAAAATGAAATCTCAGAAATAAAGAGAGAAAGAGTTTTTGTGTAAACAGTAATAAGCTAAACAAACATCAGGAGAATGTAGCTACTGGCCTGGAGAACCCATAAACTCAGCAATGTCTCTAAGCAAAACAGCCCGAAACCAACAAAATAGAAGATCTGCACACCCAACAGAAACTAGTTATGCCAAACATTCAAAATTATACCAAAAATTTTAATAAACTTTAAAATGGGCTACATGAAGATACTATAATAATATCTTTCCTTTGTATTGTTATACAACAACATCCATCTGTCATTAGTGTCTACTGATAGCATCTTAAACTCAGCTCTATAAGCAACAAAATATTCAAATAGTTAACACAAACTACCTTGAGGTTGAGCGAAAAGGAAAAGAGGAAATAATCCTTTTATGATAAAATTCTAATAACTAAACTGCCAACATAGTAACATTATGAATTTACCCCAGCCAACATATGGTCAGATATGATATCAACGGCTGAAAGGATGCCACTGCAAACAAAAAGAAAACTATAATTATTCAGAACAAAATGAAAGCATGATACGTGTCATCCAAAAGTGTAACTTTCATCACTAATATGACTCATCACATCTAACAGGAATTGAGAACCTACGTGAATGACTTCCCATGGAAGACAATTGGAGGGGCTATTGCAGCAATAATACAAAACCCAATGTGCAACTGCACAAAGAAAACAAACATATATATGTATTTTTTTCAAAAAAAAAAAAAAAGGGAAACTGACACCATAGCCAATCATCACTGAACTCACCAAGTAGAGAAGAAAAAACCAACCAAACTTGAATGCACTATCCGTCCTACAATATGAAGAATAGCCATATCAAAAAGCCATCAGCATACCAAAACCTTCCCTTTCTAGGTACCAAGAGACTTTCCTAACTCAGTCAGGAAGCTGTCACAGTAGAGACTTACCCCATTGCTCTATACAGGGGCCTGTACCACAGCAAATAGGAAAGAGGCACTCCGAGCAAGGCATAGATTATTGAAAGGAAAAAAATTTTAACTCCTACAAATTATGATGAACAGTAGAATTTAAATTAATAGCCAAAACATGTAACTTCATCTTAAGGAAAAAATATATATATATATATATATCATTGAAAGATGATGCTCACCACCGCCTTGAATCCAGCACACAGTCACAGCAATAACATTGTAAACAAGACAAAGAACAATTCCTGCAATAAAAAGGAAAAAGTCAATTATTTTTCAAAGATATCTTGGTCATGATCAGAAGAAAAATTCTGAAAATTTTCTTTTTGACTCCGCATTTCTATACACAAATGGAGAGAAAAATAAATTCCTTGAAGAAAAAAAAAAGGGGGGGAAATCCATACCTAGCCAACTGGCAAAAGCCAGATATTGTAACCTTTGAGCATGAACTGGTATTTCATTAGCAATGTCATGATGTATGATTGGGAAAAATGGCGGCCAATTTTTATTATTTGGGGTAACACCAGCTGATATTCGAAATAGAAAGAAGTAAAGAATTAACAAATTAGAAAAATATATTAAGTGAATGACTGAAAAAACTTTGATGTCCAAACTCTCATTCACTTACTTTTAGCAACAGCATCTTCTCTCCTCTTTATGTTCTGCAAAGAGGGACAACAAATAAGAGTCAAAGAATAAACAATAGAACCCATTCAAAATCTATATGCAAGAAGCAAAAATCAATTTATAAAAAGAATTAACATGTAGCTTATAAAAGTAACCTGTTCCCTCCTTTTAAGATCAGCTTCCCAAGCAGCAAGCTCTCTTTCTTTTTTCTTAGTATCCTGCATAATATTAAGGAATCAGTTGTAGTGGCCTGTGTATCAAGATATGAAGTAAAGATATAAAAGAAGTTTTAACTTCATTACACTCATTGTATCCAGTGGTATGTCCACTGTCGCATCATGCTTGCGCCCAAATCCGAGAGGTTCAGAAGCCAATGGAGGAACACGTCCTGCAGCCGTAGCACCCTTCTGCAAAAGTCCAACACAATCAAGCACAAAGAAAATAAACAGATAACATATCTTCAGAACTGAACTTTGCTGTTTTGTAGAGAATAAATCAAGTGTATAAACATTGAAAATGAACAATCAACCACAAAGAAACTGTTGATATTCTTGTGAATGTAAATAATTAACAATCAATATATCCAAATTTAGCAATAAAAAATTTACATAATGCATTTTCTTCTAGTTTCAAAAGAATGTCATTAAGACTATTTTTGAGGTTAGTAAATACATTTCAATTTCTTTGTTTTTTCCCTAAGTTTCTCAGCAACCAAACATACTATTTTCCATGTACCAAAAAAAAAAAAAAGAGAACCATTTTCTCGTCTCAGCAACTAAGATTCATCAGATCCATCCACCAAACAAGTCTAAGCATTTGGAAAAACGCAGCTATTCGAAGAAGTGAAAAAGTAGTTAAATAATCAGAACGGCATCTGAATTAGAAGCTAAAATCCAGGCAGATCTGAGAAGATATCGGAAAAATAAGAATGAATTACCGAGAAAGGATTGACTTCTACTTCTTCTTCTTCGTCGAAAGGGTTAGGGTCGTTGAAGCGACTCATTCTGTATCCACAGTCAGATCCTCCCAAAATTTGCAGAATGTTGAGCCAGAGAAAGCGGTGCCGGCAGTCTAACTTTACTCTTCTTATTATTACGTTTCTCGGCTTGCAAGCAACGCGGGATTCCGGTTGGAGGGAGATGGTTTTACATGTCTACCCCTGATATTTGAAATAATTTCTGGGCCTTAGTTCCTATTCAGCCCATTTAAAAATTTTAAACTCGGAATGGATTCCCATTGGAGCCCAAATAACTTGTAGCGGACCTGGATTGTATTTTATTGGGCCCATTTTTCTATGTGGCTTTGTGAAAACGGTGGTGGGGTGGCCCACAAGACCAAAGTTGAATTGCATGGGCATAGGCTCTTATCACCACTCGACACCCCAAACACCACATCTCCAACCAGCCATCCCCTTCATGCCACGTGGGATGACAAATATCCAAAACCTAGAAAATTTTTAAAGTGAATGAACACCAAGCTTCTTCCATACCAAGTGTCCCTATCACAAATACTCATCACCTCATCAACAATACCATCTTTTTACATTAAATAACAATATATATTTTCTCTTGTCATATGACCATTTTCTCCATTGGATGGTAATTTTAACTCATAAAAATGGTTTGAGAAGTGTTAGCAACATTTTCAAACTCTTCATTTTAAGACTTTTTTTGAGTTGTTGTGTTCATGTAACAGTTTGATTTAATTTAATGGTTAATAATAATTATTACTATTAATTTAAAATTTAAAGTACTTTTATTTATTATATTAAATAAAATTATTAATTATTAATTTTAAATTAGTATACTAAACAACTAATCATGTGATTTGCTTTAGGTGAAATATTTTTGTATTATTGATTCATATACGGGTTGAGTTATTTACTCAACAGGTGGATGTATTACATAAAAAGTATTGAAGATTGGTATTTTATATTTTTCTTTTATTTTTTAGAATTAATGTCACCTCCAAATATGTCCAAGGGTGGTCAGAGAAAACCATAAACAAATGACACCTCAGATTTCTAATCACCCAAGCCAAAACAGTTTCCTTTCCATTACAGACTGCCATCTATTTTTCTCAACCTTTTCCTACCTCATATTTGTGTCCCATATTTTTCCTCTGTAAAATCTGTCCTGAACTGGTCTCTTGGTTTCCTTCCTTGTCTTAAAGCTTTCTGGGTTAATTCCTTTTGAAGCAGAGAGTGTGGTAGCTGAAAAAATGGCAACCTGCACAGTTTACACCACACAATCTCTGAATTCAACATGCTCAATCTCCACATCAGCAAAAACCCACTTGGGGTTTCACCAGAGACAAGTAGTGTTCTACAGTAGTACCGGGAAGAAAACCAGCAAGAGGGGTGGGAGTGTGATAAGCTGTGCAGCTAGAGACCCACAGACTGTTGTGATTGGTCTGGCAGCGGACTCAGGGTGTGGGAAGAGCACCTTCATGAGGAGGCTGACTAGTGTGTTTGGAGGTGCAGCAGAGCCACCCAAGGGAGGCAATCCTGATTCAAACACACTCATCAGTGACATGACCACAGTAATATGCTTGGATGATTACCATTCCCTTGATAGAACTGGGAGGAAACAGAAGGGTGTGACTGCACTTGACCCAAGAGCTAACGATTTTGATCTTATGTATGAGCAAGTGAAGGCCATCAAGGATGGGATTGCTGTGGATAAGCCTATTTACAACCATGTTACTGGTCTCCTAGATCCTCCTGAGCTCATCAAGCCACCTAAGATCCTTGTTATTGAAGGATTGCACCCCATGTAAGTTTTTTTTATGAACCAATAACTAAAAAACTCAAGGCCATGCATTAGATTTTTGCTCTAAATTCTCTTCTCATTAAACAATGAAACTAATTCTGCATGTTTAGGGCTGTTCTTATATATATATAAATTCTTTTTTCTTTTTTGGTCATTTGCTCATAGCATCCAAACATAAATGTAAAGATAAATCAGTTTTTAATGTCTTTCTTTAAGGATTTGAAACATTTTTTGGATGAGGAAGTGTGTGGTTGAGGATTCTCTGTTTATCCTTAACCAGATGGGCTTTGAATGATGCTAATTTGGCCCATCAGATCTCTTTCTTTTTGGCCCATTTATTAGCACAGCTTTTAATTATGACTTCAATTTCACTTTCACACGTGAACTCTGAACAAGTAACGTGAAATTTTGCAGGTTTGATAAACGAGTGAGGGAGCTCTTGGACTTCAGCATCTACTTGGACATTAGCAATGAGGTCAAATTTGCATGGAAAATTCAGGTCACCACTCTATAATTCAGTTTCAAAAATTTTCTTCACATACATCCCATGATTTTGTTCATTGCAATGATCTTACATTTCATGCATTGCAGAGGGACATGGCTGAGAGGGGCCATAGTCTTGAGAGCATCAAAGCTAGCATTGAAGCCCGGAAACCGGATTTCGATGCTTATATTGGTAAAAACTGAAGAAACCATCACTAGTATTTTATTTCGGTGTTCAAGTTGGATTGTTCATGAGTAGTTTTCTGTTGAATTTGGTGTTGCAGACCCTCAGAAGCAATATGCAGATGCAGTGATTGAGGTGTTGCCCACCCAACTCATTCCAGACGACGATGAGGGGAAGGTTCTGAGAGTTAAGTTGATAATGAAAGAAGGGGTGAAGCATTTCAGCCCTGTTTACCTGTTTGATGAAGGCTCCACTATCTCCTGGATACCCTGTGGAAGGAAGCTCACTTGCTCTTACCCTGGCATCAAATTTGCCTATGGCCCTGACACTTATTTCGGTCATGAGGTATGTTTCTAAGTGCTTCTACTACCCAATCTAGCTTCTGGTAACTCTTACGCTACAAAAATTTTGTCAGGGGAAGGTTCATTATGTTGTGCTCTTGTATTTTAGGTTTCTGTTTTGGAGATGGATGGGCAATTTGACAGATTAGACGAGCTCATTTATGTTGAAAGCCATTTAAGCAACATTTCCACCAAGTTTTATGGAGAAGTCACCCAACAGATGTTGAAACACTCTGATTTCCCAGGTAGTAACAATGGAACTGGACTCTTCCAAACCATTGTTGGATTGAAGATCAGAGATCTCTATGAGCAAATTGTTGCAACCAAAGTCGGTACTCCGCTAGAAGCAACAAAAGCCTAAGAGACAAGGCGCTAACGTTATTAATTAGCTCATTCTCATTTTCCTCCTTTCCACTCTCTCCCCTTTATAATTCATTTTGAATCCTAGCACGAATACTCTCAAATGTAGTTATTTTCTATTATAATTCTGTGGGGATGTGTAATATAGAGAAGCAAAAGCAGAGATCAAATTTCAGTTGAGAAGTTCATACAAGACAGGAACTTTTTGACATCATCTGTCCTCTTCCATTCCCTCACTGGCTTTCCTTGCATCACTCCATTTGATGCCCACCATTTTCTACTTTGTTTTCTGGCAAAGGTTATCGGTCGCCGACCCCATGGACCACAAGAGGAATGGCAAAAGAGCAAGGCCATACCTTATTATCCATAACGATCCAAACATATGAAATACATATCAAAACATCAGCTCTCAAATGCAAAGTAGCATTTTCTGAGTTTTAATCCATATGCCTTTTTATACATATAATTCAGACAATAAATCTTGGGTAGAGAAGTATGAAATGAATAATTCAATAATGGGTGCATTGCCACTTAATTTGCTTGTTTTGATACAAATTCTCAAACTTACTAATGGGTGTTGATATTATTCTGTACAGCACATCAAAATATAGCCTAGGGGAAAAAAAGGTTGGAGCTGATAAGTTTCAGCCAACTACTGCGAGCAAGCTTTGTCTTACAGCTGGGACAGAGCAGACCACTGAGCCAAATATACCGGTGAGTGCATATGCTATGGCGCAGAAGGGAAGAGCCTCGGGTTCCTTGGCTGACAAAGCTGCAGTTCCCAATCCATGGGCACTGGAACAACACAAGGAAAAATATAAAAAGACAGATTCAGAGAATAGAGATGAACAATTTTGTGGTTCATCAGAACTTGGGATTAGATACAGTACTTTGGATCTATTTCTGGTATTCATATATTCCAAAAGAAACCAAGGTAAAGGAAAGAATTCGCCTTTCCTACCTAAAGGCATTAGGCATTAGGATTATTCATCAGCACCATTTATCAAACATTTATTTTTAATGTCTTTCTTAGACATAGAAAGTTTTTGGGTTTGCATCAGAGTGTTCGTCTGTTCTATTGACCATTGAAGCACATACCTTGATGCAGTTGCTATTCCTCGAGCAATAGGATCACGGAACTGTAATTTATCAAGCATTGCTTGCACAAAATTTGCTCCTATCAGTCCAGTTACTACAACTACAGCTGCTGTAAGAGATGAATTGGCACCTACAACCAATATTTATAAACATGTGTCATTTCACAACTACATGGTTTAGAGTTGTTTTATGGTGAAAAGACTAAAGCAAGTGAATGGGAAAATGTTCATCTTCATTTATTTGTTCTGTGTTAATTATTTTAGTTGGTTACAATAGGTATGTATATCAGAATAAAAATTGCAAGCCTACCATTGCAGAGTATAACTAGTTATCCTACCTTCAAATAGAGAAACAATGCTGAGGGCTAGTGCCACGGTTATGCATCTTGGTAGAATTGAAATGGTCAGAGTTGGTTCTAACCCAACAAGGCGTCCAACGAGAGCAGTGGAATACAATGAAAATAAAGTTGAGATAATGACAGAAGTGAAAATCTCAGAGGCATGCCTCTTAACAAGCTGCAAAGACAAGGAGAAAATATAACAATTTAAAAAGAAAGAAAAAAACAAAGAAAGAAAGAAAGAAAGAAAGAAAAAGATTAGAGCAAGGCATGAAAGAAAACCAAAAAAGAGTTTATGAAGTTAGGTCAAGAGACCCATGGGCTATGTCCATGTCAAGAGCCAATCATTCTTATGCACCAGTCTAATATATAATGCTCTCTATAGTTTATCCAGACTGCTTTTCTCTAAGGCAATTGAAAATCTCAAACCTTTTCCTCATTCTTATGCAATACAGAGATACCTGAAATCCTTATATTTTAAATCCCCAAGCACCAAAAAAATGATGTGTAGGCTGATCACTCAAGTCTGTCTCATTGTGTTGAAAATGGAGCAAGTAGTAAGAGTTATTTACCTTCCTCTGTTTGAACATTGAGAAAGCAAAAGAAAGAATAACGGCTCCCAAAAATCCCATGAGAACATCACCAGCTCCAGGGTCAGATGACACTTTTGTAAGGTAGCATCCTGTAGACATAGTGAATATAATTTTTTACCAAATGGGTAGAAAAGGCTGAAAATCTAATACTGCACAATTTCAAAAGTTGCAGATTTGATTGTATACTTTACACTATTTGATCCATATTACTAGAATTCTCAGATTTTTCACCTTCAATGTCCAATAATCCAAGCATGCTATTTATGCACGAGTCATCAAGGATTTCATCCAAGTTTATGTAACAATAGTTTCTTTATAATGTGCAATATCTATGCCTATAGACAATTTTAGAAAAATCATTTGACTTTGAAAGAGAGAAAAATCCCCCCACATCACACAAAAAAAAAGAGAGGATGAAAATCCTAAAAGTTAATTTTGATTGTAAGATAATTTTTGGTTGATTACCCATCCATAGAGGATGGGCTTTCCTTGGTGTGGTCCACACTAGGGTTCCTTAGTGCTGTGTGCCCCCGGGGTGTGGGCCGCCGGGCGCCCACCCTAAAAGCTAATTCTTGTGATGAATGTACTCATTTTTCTCATCCTGGTTTCTTATTTTCTCCACTCTTCCATGGCATTGGCTGATGAATTATTAATTAAATATAGTGCTTACCAAAATAAATAAATAAATAAATAAACATAGGGCACATTAACTTTTATATTTTACCTAGGACATGGTCAAGTCCAGACTGGGATAAGAACCCAAAAGCAAATGCTGCAAGATCGGCAGATAGCGTGCAGCAAATGATTGGATGGAAAACCTTTTTCACAGCAGATGGCAACCTGAAAAGTAAAAACCAGAAATCAAAATCTGGTTTCTCAATGAAACTAGAGAATTGTGCATGTGCAGAATCTTGCCAGTATAGACTTTCTCAATTCAAGACATGAAATTTTACCCAGAACCAAACATGTAGCCTAGCACAGTTGATGCCAGCAGAAAAGGGAGGCATGTTCTGGCACTGGTCCCCAATGCGGTTGGATAGAGTAGTGCAGTAGTAAATGATATAATGAATATACCACTCCAAGTCAACAATTCTAAGGGAGAAAAAGGTGATGGTTTTGCCATTGGCTCAGGATCTATCATTTGTGTCTTCACTATTTTTCTTACAGTAATCGCTGTAAAACCAGCCACACACAGTGTAGCCAACCATCCTCCAACTGCAGGGGGATAAAATATGAGTAATAAATAATGGAAAATGAAGAAAATAAACAAGGTTTACATGGGTTTATACATTTAAACACCCCCACACACAAAAGGTTTACTTGAAGCTGACCCTTATGAAAATCTAGAATT